CAGAGATTAAATTCAAGAATGTCTGATTCCAGAACCCTGCTCTCAACATTTTCTTAAAAAATATTTAATGCAAGTAAAATTGGATTAAATTTAACATTTTATTAAAATATTTAATGCAAGCAAAATTGAATACAGATAAATATCCTCTTATTCCACCTAAAGAATCAAGTTCTTTTCCTATCTAAGATGAAATGCACGCAGCTCAACTAAGAATAGAGGGTATGGAATGATTTCCTTTGCTCTCTCCTTAGCTCCAGACAGAATCAGTGACCCAAAGCTATGGCGAGTCCTGCCCGTGCTTACTGTATGAATCAGAAACAATGACATAGGGTTATTAAAGACCAACTCTTTTGCACCCAAGAGAACACAATGAACAATAGTTAGGAGAGTTAATTAGAGAGGGAAATGCAGTAAATCTCGTATTAAAGTTCAAACACTGATCCCCCAGTATGGGAAGAGTGATAAATATGCAGCAGAAAAGGAGGACAATACCTTTAAATTTGCCCTTAAAAATCTCTTAAGTGGATTTCATTCGAGGGCACACTGTTGGATTAACCCTGTTAGGTGCGGACAAGGACCTTAAATTCCATTAAATATTATTGAAAAAAAGGTAAGAAACTTAGGACCAGGATAAGCTTCTCACGTGCCTACCTGCAGCTACAAAAATGCCGTCCCCTCAGAAGCGGCAATGTTATTAGCCAATACAGTTGGCTCCTAACAAGCTCCAACAGTAATGAAAATGTAGGTATCCAGGAATATGCAATTTGTTTATAATGGAGTTTGAGTAGAAGTCACTGAATCACTTACTGTCAAAGGATGTAGTGTGAGTGAGTCAGGTCAAGATGAACCACTGGCCTAGCATCATTGTTGGAAACACAAATTATCTAGTTACCGATATTAGAAACAGGTGGATGTTACATAGAAAAGAAATTAGGAAATACAATGGCTAAAAGATGAGCATTGTATAATAGTTAAGAGAAAAAAGTTTTCCCTCTCAAAAAAAAAAAAAAAATCCAGAAAGATATTTACAGATTTCATCTCCTGTATGAGTATACATTAGCGGTTAGCTAGATATAGTAACTGAAAATACAAAAATGTTCTATCTTTTAAGGTCAATAAACAATGATATTGGGGGAAAATACTGCCAAAGAGCAGAAAAAGAAAACTGAAACTGCTTAGTGTTCTCAAAATTGAGCCTCAGGAACAAGTAAATGTATTTCTTGGGGGAAGATGGATGTTTCTGGTATTGTGACATGACTTTCTTTGTAAGGTGAACTGATTTATGATGCTGCAAAGAATAATAGAAAACTTTCTTAATTCTTCTTTTAATTGAATGAATTATGTGAATAAACTTGGCAGAAGACCATACCCCTATAAAGTCTTTATAAGGAAGGAATGTGGATTGAGTTCTCAATCTGATTAAAATTATGTATTTTTTGAGCTAAGGTTGCTTTCTAAAGAAACATAAACCGTTCATAAGGAACTGATCCTAATTGATTAAATAAAACTGGTTTACTTGCAAATTGTTAAGGCCTTTTCTCTTTGAATAAATGAGCAAGAGCTACCACCATTTTTTTCACGTGGGATTGAGAAAAATAAGAATTAAGAGGCCAAGAGAAATTAAAAATGACCTGTGTCATTAGAATGTGTGAGTGTGCATCCACACAAACGTATGAACTTATTTATACTTTTTAAGTTGAATGATATATCTATTTCAAATGGAATAAAAATGTATGCATTACAGCTTTATTGATACAGTCTCCTTTAGAGAGATTTCACCAAAAGAATGAGGAAAATGTTTGAGAATATTATCCTTCCTATCATTTGACATATCCTGCAAGTGTTTAAATTTGTACTGCTCTAATTCTTCATCTATCAATCTAAATCACCTAGCAGCTCTAACCGTATTGTGTGCCTTTATTAACATTTGGGTGAAATTGATGTTGTTTTGTATTTAAAATTCAAACAAAAATTTTAAAAGCAGCCTAAATTGAGGACAATATAGTCCACGATCCCATCAACACAGCAGCTGGGATGAATTGTTTATAAAGTCTGGAAGAACAACAATGGTACAAAACATCTCAGAAAATGCAATCAGGATGAATAATGTAAATTGGTATGTTTACTTCTAAAAGACGTTAAGGTTTGATCTTCAAGGAAGAAAAGATAGATCAAAATGTAGAGTATTTTCAACCATCAAATAAAATTTAGTCTGTAATAAATTCTCATGGGAACATCACGTAAAACGATTATAGATGCATGTTTTGATTAAAATAAATTTTGTGTTTGTTATAAATTTGATTTGCCTTTCCTGTTGGCAGATTCTATTTTTACTCTTCTTCAGCTTTGCTCTGTGCTTCCTGGGAAAAAGAGGTAGTGGGAAGAAAAAGAAGAAAAGGGAAGATAAAATATTCTCAAAATAAATCTGGTAAGAATTTACGTGGGGAAAAATGGTTCTAGTCTACATTTTTAATTTCCCATTCCTGTACATGCCACTACATCAGTGCTTCCCATAATTGCTGGAACAGTTTCTCAGGAGACGAAATAAAATTCAGATATGTTGTGAGTTTCATAACTATTAAGTGTTTGTAAGACTTTCCCAAATTAACAATTCACAAAATACATTTTAGAACTATGCTTTTAGTTAATGAATGTACTAGAAGCTGTGAAAATGAATTCCTTTCAGATTGTCAGTCCTGCTCGGTACTTATTACTTGTTGCCTGAAACGTTCCCTGCTTCCTAGACATTTTTTTTTTAAATATAATAATAGCTTGATGGGTTTTGACTCGGTCAGTTTCCTTTACCTGCACTAACCCTGGAAAGAGGACAAATATACACCTGATATCTCAACATCTCTTACGAGTTTCCCCCAGGTTACTTTCAGTGAGACTTTATGTCCCTTAGGAACTGTCCCCCCAACTCGTGGAAGCCAGCTGCCTAACGTTTTGATCAAATAGAAATTCTAAGCCTTCAAAATTCTCGTACTCAGCAAAATTTCTACTAACAGAAAACTCAGCTTCCAATCCAAGTTCTTCTAATTGTGTGATCTTGAGTTAGTCATTACACTTGGCCTTTGCTCCCTATATACTACTTTCTATAATCATTGCATTTCTAGGATGGATAACTTTCCTAGCACTTTTCATTCAAAACGGCTCTGACTTATAAATTATAGTACTCCGTGGCACCACAGAATGGACCCACAATCCATCCATTTAAACTTCTTGTCATTATGATGGAGCTTAAAAATCCACACTGTGAATGCAGTGGTCATAGCTGTGAAATAATTCCTAAAGCAGCATTGAAGTTGTTGGTGAATCTAATTGATCAGAACCCAGTTTACTGAGACTTACACATAATTATCAGTACAGATACATTTTTGCATTTCGGTTTAACAGAGGACTTAATCTCATCGAAATGATAAATTTTTAAAACTACTGGTGTCCAAGAAGGGGGGGACACAATTAATTACAGGAGGGACTTTACCTAACAAACACAATCAGTGTAATCTAAGCCTTTGTACCCTCAATGAATCCCAAACAATAAAAATAAAAATAAAAAGCAACTGAAATTGCTGTGAAACCGAGTGACTTGTCACATTGCTGCTTATGGGATTATATCTTATTTATAATGAGAAATGGCCATAACAATTTCAATACATTATGTTTTCACTATTAAAAAGAACATTAAATGCCTAAAAAGGTATTCAAAGTCAGTCTGCTCTGCTTAAACAACATAAAGTCCAATGAAGAGATTTACACTATTGAAATTAATAACCACACTCCTGATATGAACAGATAAAAAACACATTATAAATGTGTTGATTATATTTACAGTTAAGGAAGGCAAAGATCCCTGGTTGAAACATCTCACTAAAGTCCCACTATCGCCCTGGAGCTGTCACCAGCTCACAAAAATCCCAAGTAGAACAAGAAAGGTTGGACACTGATTGGCCTGTTAAATCCAGGGTAAAGAAATTAAGTGTACCTGACCCAAGTAGATGAAATGAGGGAGAATTTGTTGGCAAAGAATGTAAACCATGATGGATACCAGAATGAAATGGTTTTGACACATTTTCGCTTTTGTCCTTGATAACACGTATTTTCACCTAATAAAATATTCTGAGTTCACAAGGCATAACTTCAAGAGAACGATGCAATTCTCCCCAGATTAGCTAACTGCAAATCTAATAGTTACCTCCAGATGGATGATGGTACCGGGGGTTAGAGTCACACATAGATCCAGAAGTTGAGTTTCCTGATTATCACAGCAAGTAGGTCTTGAGCACTTACCATGTGCTCTGAAACTAGACTACCCCATGATTTCATTACATCCTCAAAATACCATGAAATAAGTCTATTTCATGAAGTAGATTTTCATAAAGAGCAAGAAAGCATTTTGTCAGAATTCAGGCCACTAGCAAATGGTAGAAATAAGACATCTCTGACAACGTATTTTTTCCATGTGTTGCTAACATAGCTGTTTCCTTCTTTCTCATGTTTATTCTCCTTATCATTGTAAACGTCAGTCTAACAGAAATGTGGAGGCTGTGGAGCCTTCGAACTTGTTTCCTCCAAGCAATGCCACAGGGAGACCAGCTTGAACAGCCCGTCACCACCTTCCCTAAGTTCTGCCTTTATCACACATGGCTCTTGGGCATACAGTATAAAATTCAGTCTGGCCGTCTCTAACGGAAAGCCTGTTATACCTTTCTGCTTTTTGTGCCCTGTCCCTTCCCTGTTAAGAGACTTGCAGGCATGTTTTTTTAAAAAGTACAAGGAAAATGAAACATGCCTCTGCTATAATTCCTTCTCAGAGTAACAGAAAGTTATCCTTCACCTGGTTAGACTGAAACTCCTTCAATGTCACCGGAGGTGACACATCACGAATGAGGCTGAAAGTACTTTTTATTTGGGGGGGCCATTTCAGTTAGGCCATATAAGAATAAGAAACAGAATCTAATTGTCTTAATTGGAAGTACATTGAAATGATGGTTTCTGACCTGGATCTGTTGCTGGAGCAAATTGATCTTGTGTTGCTGCTGCAGGAGCTGCTGCTGTTGTCTTGCGATCTGCAGAGAAATTGCACATCAAACCTTTAAAAGTGTGTGTCAGTCACGGGGCAGGGGGGAGAAATCATCACTGTTCTGTTTCTGAAAGTTTGATTTGACACTGATGAAGATGAGGAACACAGATGTGCCTGTCCCCCTAAATTATCAGCACTCCATCCTTAAGTAGGCTGCACGAGGTAGTGTTCAGGAACAGTGATGCTCCTTTTGGCCTAACATGAGTGAATGAAGCTTAAGATACCGCAACAGTGAAATTTCCCAGAAAGAAATGTTAGTATTTCAAAAGCCCTCTTCCTGGTGATAGATTAAGAAGACACTGTCTCTGACATTTTCAGCCCTTTTCTACACCAGCAAGTGTGTTACATAAACCGGGGGTGACTTAAGAATTCAGAGTAACACCGAGCATTGTGAGATGCTACAGCCCGTAATTTAGGTGGGGTTTTGTTGTTGTTGTTGTTGTTATTTTCCGATTTTTTTTTGGAAAACGCTGTTCTCATTTCTGCCTTCCACAAACCATTCATGGCTGACTGTTCAACATGTTCCGTCCTGGCTTCTGCTTCCATCTCACGATTAGAACGATGCCTGAGAAGGTCACCAATCACGTCTATTTCTAATTCTGAAGTGTTTTTCAGTCCTCACATTTGACCTCTCATCAGAATTCAACACTCAGACATTTTCTCTTGATCTTGAACTTCTTCCCTTGGCTTCTATGACATCACACTTTCCTGGGTTTGTTCCTACCTCTCACATCTATTTTTTTTCTCAGCTGGTTGCTGTCCAGCTATTAAATATTAATTTTCTCAGGCTCAATTTTAGATGCTGTTCTTTTTCCTCTGTCCTTACTTTCACGTGTATGCCATGTGCTTCTCAACCTGTTACTCTAGCTTCAGGCCCATTTATCCATCTATTCAACAGTATTCAAATTCAACAGGTCCAAACCTAAGCTGGAGATCTGGCCCAATGTTTATCTTAGGTATTGTTTACCCCAGAGAACAGCACAATCACCCCCTGTTATTTGCACTCGTACATGTAACACCTTCTACTTCTTAATACTATGCTCCATGCTCTGATTTATATTTATTCTGTTTTTTTTCCTTTTACTAACTTTTTTTTTTTTTTTTTGAGACAGAGTCTCACTATGTCGTCCTGGGTAGAGTGCTGTGGTGTCACACCTCACAGCAACCTCAAACTCTTTAGGCTTAAGCAATTCTCTTGCCTCAGCCTCCCAAGTAGCTAGGACTCCAGGCACCTGCCATGAGACCCAGTTATTTTTTGTTGCAGTTGTTATTACTGTTTAGCTGGCCCCAGCTAGTTTTGAACCCACCAGCCCTGGTATATGCGGCTGGCGCTGTAACCACTGTGCTATGGGCGCCAAGCCTACTAACCTCTTTTTGTCTCCTAGGGTAAAGTGCATAAATTCATTGAGGGTAGGGACCCTCTCAGTGTATGTGGCTGGTTCTGTACCCAGTGAGCTACAGGCGCTGCCTGTTTTGTTTTTTATTTTTAAGAGATGGGGTATATTGAACTCCTGGACTAAAGTGATCCCCCTTGGCCTTCCAAAATGCTGGGATTATAAGTGTGAGCTGCTGTACACGGACTACAATGAATTTTTTAATATCTTTTATGGACACTGGTATAATTACAATTATTTTAATATTTTCATTTTCTCTTTGGCATAAAAAACTTTTTTTTTTTAAGGAAAGGAAAGGAGATCATAGAAAAAGACTCTCTAAGTCTGCTTGCTTCCTCCCTCGTATCAATATTTCACTTGATATTTAAATCTTTTTAATAGAACTTTAAGACTATATCAAGGACCTGGCCACTTCATATCCTTGCACTGTTCTAAGCCACTGTATCTCTAGCCTGGACTGTGGCAATAGTCGCCTGTTTGCTCTTTGTACTTTAGCCTTTGCCCCCTCGAGTCTGTTATAGAGAGATCTCAACATCAGAGAGATCCTTTTAAAATGCAATCCTGTCGTGCTCTTCATGTTTTCCACATCCTTCTGCCTTACTCAGAGATAAAGCCAGTGCCCATATAACACCTGTAAGGCCTCCCTATATGCTATGGCCTCCCGCTACCTCTCCAACCTCATCTCCTCCCTCTCGTCTCCTTGTCATTCCACTCCTGCCCCCCCTGCAGTCCCAACTGCCTTTTGAACATATCAAAATGCTCCTTCCTCTCTCAAAGGATGCTCCTGCCTCTGGGCTTTTGCACTTGCTGTCCCCTCTGTCTGGAACACTCTGGCTGGACAGCCCCATGGTTCACTCTGTCACCTCCTACAAGTCCCTGCTCAAATGCGTTACCGGTCAATGAGGTCTTCCCTGAGCCTCCATTTTAAGAGCGCATATCCCTCTACCTGGGACCCTTATCTCCAATTTCATATTTGAATTTACAACACAATACTTATCAACCTATACCGTGGTCTACTGGTTTCCCATTTACCTCTCTCCACTAGAGTTCAGTTCATGACAGATGTTTGCCTGTTTCACTCCCCTACTGTACCCCCGGTCCTTAGAACAGAACCTGGCATCAAACTGGGGCTTACTGGACATTTACTGAATAGACAAATGTGGGATGGAGCTCAGGGTCTGCTAGGAAGGCTGGCGAGTGAACAGACCAGCAGCAATAGGAGCGGTGAGCGCCCAGTGTAGGGCTGTCCTATGCTGAGTAGGGAGTGTCACAAAGGAGTTCTCAGGAGAAGAGGAACCTGACCTGACTCTTAAGGAGCAAGTAAAAATGTCCTTTGTGAAGAGATCTGTGACCACAGAGTGGTGACCATGCCTGCCAGCTTGGTATGCTGGAGGGCAGCAGGGAGAACCACACAGGGGCTGGAAATCTGACCTGTGCAAGTCACCAAGGCTCTTCTCTCAGGCTGTGGGAGGCAACATTTTGGGACATCTTATCAGCACAGCAGAGAAATTCTGGAAGAACCTAAAGGTCTCTAAAATTCTAAGGAGAATGTCATAGGTCTTGAGAAAGTAGGAGAATCAAAAGATTCTAGAATCCCTTCATGATGTTCAGGGATGGGCTTGAACATGAAAGAGAAAGAAAAGAAACTCTTCATGAATGATTGCTTAAATTTTTCAGGACAGGGGGTTGCCTAAAGACCCACCAAAATAAGTCGAGATGCTTGAAAAAGAAATATCTCCAGCTAGGCTACATTTTTCTGAGGCTCCTAGGATTCTCCAGAATTCAGATATCTAAAGGATGGAGCATTAAAGAGAGAGGTGTTTTTTATTCCGGCCCGTCAAACATTCTGAATTGCTTTATCCTAAGGGTAAAGCAAGAGGAGTATGGGCCATCGGCAATAATAGGCCACATGTATCTTTAAGGAAAATGGTGAGGCAGTTCATGAAAAATGAAAAGAACTCTTTTCAAGCAGAGATGAACCACCAAGCAGAAATGTATAAAATGGAAATAAGGTGTCAGGGCACCCCTCAAACATAGTCTGAGTATTTCTTTATCTTTTTTAAATCTGCTAGTTTATATTTTGAAAGCTTTCTAGAAGGTTTTGCAGGCATATACAGATACTCTTGATTTCACAGTGGCTATCCACTCCTTGAAATGGTGAGCAAGGGCCCAGCACGGTCGGTGGCTCACACCTGTAATCCCAACACTATGGGAGGCTGAGGAGGGAAATTGCTTGAGCTCAGGAGTTCATGACTTGCCTGAGTGAGAGTGAGACCTCTCTGAGTGAGAGTGAGACCTCAACTCCTGGAAAAAAATGGAAAAACCCAGCCGGGCACCATGGCAGGTGCCTGTAATCCCAGTGGCCTCTGGAGGCTGAGGCAGCGGGATGCTCACAGCCTGAGTCTGAGGTTGTAGGGAGCTATGACGCCATTGCACTCTACTAAGGGCATGGGGGGAGGGCTCTGTCAACAACAACAGTAAAAATCAAAGAAATAAAAAATAAGCAAATAAAAAAAGAAAGAAATCGTGAGCAAGGCCAGGTGCGGTGGCTCACACCTGTAATCTTAGCACTCTGGGAGGCCGAGGTGGGTGGATTGCTTGAGCTCATGAGTTTGAGACCAGCCTGAGGAAGAGCGAGACCCTGTCTGTAAAAAAACAGCCAGGAATTGTGGCATGCTTGTGTAGATCTAGGTATGTAGTAGGCTGAGGCAAGAGGATCACTTGAGCCCGAGAGTTTGAGGTTGCTGTGAGTTATGATGGCATGACAGTCTACGAAGGGTGACAAAGTGAAACTCTGTCTCAAAAAAGAGAAAAAGAAATGGTGAGTGGACTGGGCCTCTAACAGGGATAGTAAAGGGATTTAGCTGTAGAAAAGAGGCCTCCTCTCCTACCTAAGCTGACCCTATGAAATCCTCTGTCATACCTTCCCTTATTGTCAATTTCTCTAAGTAGCAGTTCTTAGCATTGCCTCCATTTCTCTACTGGGTGCAATCACTTCTTGTTGTCTAATTTCTGCCATTAAAACTTCCTAGAAGCCTCAGCCTTCAAGGCCAGCAATGAGAATCTAAATAACAAATCTTGTTCCTTTTATTTAACGCTAGAATAACAACTTTTCTGTAGCCTTCAACACTGTCATCTCTTCTTAAAATCTCCATCTTTTCCTATTTCCCATGACCCTGAACTCCTGTCCTCTCCCCTGATGTATCTGATTCTTCCTGGATATGTTCACTTTTCTTTCTCTGCCATCTATATACCCGTATCTCCCAAGGATCGGTCCTTAGTTCCTTTCCTCTTTCTTGTGATGTTACCACTCTGAGTTAAGGCCTTTAAGTGGGAACTTCTAGCCATCTCAGCATGAAATACTCTGTTTATAATTACTTCTATGCTCCTTATCCTCAAAGTGGTTAATAAGCGTCTTTAGATGTAGGTGTCATCTGTGTTTGCTTTGGTCTTTGCCATTTCATTTACTTAATTGAGGTAGAAGGACATCCATCTTTGTGTGCCTGGGACAGTGACCTGTAAGTAGCAGGCACAGCCATGATGTCTGAGGGATCTGACTGCATCTCTCGTTCTTACTCACCTGTTCCTGCTGCTGCTTGGCCAGCTCCATTTGCTGGCGCTGTTTCTCAATCTGGGATGCAGCTAGTTTCTTCTGCTCATCGTGGGCAGCCAACAGCTGCTCTCGCAGACTAGTCAGCTGATTGATCATACCCATGAGCTGTCTTTCTTTCTCAGCTAGGCTCTCAGGAGTCCCTGAAAATATGGCAAGAAAACAGACAGGAGAAATGAGAAGAGAGTGATTGTTTCGATGACAATGGCTCTGTTGTATTATGAACTAGTCCAAATGCAAGGTTCAACAAACATTGCCTTCTTTCTTTTAGATTTTGACTCAACCATAGAAAGTGATGGCTATTTATCTCTTATAAAGTATCAGAAGGAACCTGGCCCTGGGGCAGAACAGATTGCAGACTGTACTTCAGGACAAAATACCAGAATGAACAAATATTTCAAATGTTTTGTATTTATGAATAGTAATAATCTATAGCTTTTTCTCTTTTATTTTACAAGGAAACAGAAAGTTCCCTTGTAAACTGTTTGCTGAGTATCTACTATTTTTATTGTTCTATGCTGGGGCCTACTGGAAATAAAAAGATATCTAAAACAGTTCTTGGCATTAAATACAGTAGTTTTTGACTAATTAAAGAGCAAGCCAAAACTATAAAAAATTTTATAGCCATAAATATTAAGATATGAAAGCATTAGTATTAGTGATATGATTTTCTTTTCCTTAACAAAGAATCTGAAAGAACTAAAGAATTTTATAACGAAAGAGGGACTAAATCTACTTAGCCAATCAGGTTTTAGACTATATCCCCACATGCCACTCAGAATCGATCTTCAAAATCAAATATAGGTAACTAAGCAAATATTCAAGTCTGAAAATACAAAAAAATGCAATCATGAAAGAATTACGACTGGTTGGCAAACTAACATTATATTATGGTCATCTAAGATTATACAAAAGTCTGAGATTCGGAGAAGTTATGGTTATACTTTGAAATAAATCGTACATGCTGGGCATGGTGGCTCATGCCTGTAATCTTAGCAGTTTGGGAGGCTGAGATGGGCAGACTTCTTGAGCTCAGGAGTTTTGAGGCCAGCCTGAGCAAGAGTAAGACCCTGTCTCTACAAAAAATGGAAGAAATTAGCGGGGTGTTTTTGTGGGCATCTATAGCCTCAGCTACTCAGGGAGCTGAGGCAATGAGGATTGCTTGAGCCAAAAGAGTTTGAGGTTGCTGTGAGTTATGATGATGCCACAGCACTCTGCCCACAGCGACAGAGTGAGACTCTGTCTCGAAAAAAAACAAAAGTAATCAATCAATTAATTAATTCAATAGTATGGTCAAGATATCTAAAACATGCCAATGAATCTTCTTTTTCCTTTTTTCTGAGACAGAGTCTCACTATGTCACCCTCAGTAGAGTGCTGTGGCATCACAGCTCACAGGAACCTCAAACTCTTGGGCTTAAGGGATTCTCTTGCCTCAGCCTCCCAAGTAGCTGGGACTACAGGCACCTGCTACAATGCCCGACTACTTTTTGTTACAGTTGTCATTGTTATTTAGCTGGCCCCACCGAGTTCGAACCCATCACCCTCGGTGTATGTGGCTGGGAAAGTATCCACTGTGCTATGGGCAACAAACCCCCAATGAATCTTCTTAGATTAAAATACTTATTTGACACAAGGAAAATGTGCACTGTTCACTAAAACAGAAACCGTATCACTTTAATTGTTCTTTAAAAACTCAGCAAGATAGACAAGACTCCTATGGTAAAGTATCAACAATAGGAAAGAACACCCTCGTTAACTACAATGTTACAATGTTCACTTCAAACATAAGACACAACGCACTCTTTTAATAACCCATTTGCCACCTATACACATATTAGGTGGAAGGCTCTGTTATAACGCAGTCACCCTTCTCAACCCCACTGCATTTCCCCCACCAATTTATGCTGAAAAAGTATGCGGTGTTTTCGGAAGTAGTAGCTAGAGTTAGTGGCTTACAATTTTCACGTGCCCATTTAGAACGGAAAGTTTTGAATGTATTTTACATGTAGACTAGAGAAGAAACCTCCAAAAAAGAAGTTCTCTGTGAACATAAGGCAAGAACCTTTCCTTATTCTCTTTCTCATTACCAAAACCTAGACTTAGTCAGGGAAGATGATCGAGAACTGGTTGCTAATAATTTATGACACCTCAGATATTTGTAATCTATCACAAGAGAAGATGTACTCTAAGAAAAATAACCACATGGCTATTGTATCCTAATAGTCAATAATCTAAATATACCTTACAAAGATTTTCTTAATGAAAATATTCATATGATAACAAGATGAGCTTCTTCCTGCACTGTTAGTAGAGAAATAGATCACAATTACATGTGCAGGGATACAGACACTGAACAGTTGTTAATACACATCATGTCTTGTAATGCTCAGAACCTTCATGGACTAATTCCATCCACTTCTAGAAACCCAGCCCAAGAAAACCACAAGAATTGTAGGTAAATATTAATAATTGCTTTAAATGAAATAACAGATATGATCTAAATATCACATGAGAAAAACCAAGTAATCATGGAACCCTCATATAGTAGAGATTTTGCAGGCATAAAAAATTATTCTTGAAGAACATTTAATGCTACAGGATGTTCATGACATAAGTCTAGGTATGAAAGTTTCAAGGAAATGGAACACTCATCTACTCACCTCAATGCATGCATGTATTTATATTTGTAGAAAAAAAAGACTAAAAGCAAATTTGCCTACATAAGTAATAATTGCTATTTATAAATGATGGGTTTATAAGTCATTTTCATTTTTTATTCATATTTCTGTATTAGGAAATTTTCCCACAATTTGTATTATTAGCATAATTCTTTACATACTCAGAAAAAAAATGCCATTTACCTCCCTAGTTAGAGAGATACCATATTTTGTCCTATGTATAATGTGCATCCACATTTTGGGGCCAAACTGTTAGGGAAAAAAATTTAGTGTTAATCTTTTCATTCAAATTTCCATTTGTTTATATTAGGTGCTTGTTTTTTATATTGTAAAAATATCAGAAGTATCTTCCTCAATTTCTCCGTTACTGGTGTCTTCTGAAGTGTTGTTTTTCTCATCCCAGTAAATTTCATCGTCCGCAGTTCTATGCATTGCATTGCTGATGCAGCATTTTAAAAAAGATTTCAACCACTTCCCTCTTGATACTCTTCCATGATCTTAGGATACAATTTCCGACCTGGCTGATAGACACTTCCTTGATTCTACCTGCAGGAGTTAAATCATTACCAGCTGACTGCATCCATGATGTCTACTCTTTCTTCATTCGGTTATTAAAGGGCTTGTTTAGTGACACATCCAGAGGCTGCGGTTGGCTGGTCAGCCCATCAGGTATCGCAGCAAGCTGGGTTTTCAAGTCCATGGTGATTGTTTTTGTACTCTGCGTAACAGGGCTTTGAAGTCATCAAAAACAAGCAAAGCTGTTTTTGCAAGTTATCCTCCTTCCTGGCCTTCATGACCAGACAGATTTTCATGCCCTTTCTTCATTCATCCATCCTTTCTCATGCCCGTGAACAATAACTCCACTTGGAGTCTTTTCCTTTGGAAATGTTTTTGCTTTAAAGATAATAATAGGTGGCAGCTTTATCCCGTCTGCAAAACAGCCTAGAACAACAGTGAAACGTGTTTTCTCACATCCACTAATTTCAAAGGCCACCATC